TTTTACTTTAGGTGTTTGGGACATCTGAGGAGAATAATAACAGCAAGCATATCTAGCACTTATGGAAGAGCTGCAGAGGGCACTTTCTACAAGTTGGTTAGCCACACAAGCCCATGGGGTGGGGGCTGTTATTATCCCCACTTTACTGATAGGAATCCAAAGTTTTGAGGTTAGATGTCTTGCTCAAGATCATACACCTTCTGAATAGGAGACAGTACAATTCAACATCAGTTCTGACTGATTCCCATCTTACTAGAATGACTGACTATGTAATTGCACACAGGACCAGGGCATTGAATGACAGGCATTCATCTTATTTATTCATTTATTGAGCTCAAATATGACCAGAGCATTTACTGGGGGCCAGACATTCTTCCAGGCACTGGAGATACAGAACCTGCATTCTAGTGAGATCCAGTAAGATGAGCTATAAAAGCAACAAAATAAATGATCAAATCTATATTAGTTAATGGTGACATATGATATGAACAAAAATAAATCAAGAAGTGAATACATAGGATATGAGAGGAGGGGTTGTAATTTTAAATAAAGCAGTCAGGTAAGATTTCAAGAAAGACCTAAAGGAGGTGAGGGAGTGAATCATCCAGCTATCTGGAGTAAGAACCATCTAGGCAGAGGAACGTGCAAAGGCCCTGAGGTGGGGCCATGCTAAGCGTGTTTGAAGAACCGAAAGGAGACTAGGTGGCTGCAGATGTACTGAGCAAGGGGGGACAGGAAACAGTACATGAGATGAGAGGGGCACAAAGAGGCTGAGTAGGGTAGGGCCTTTTAGGCCACATGGGAACGTCATCTTTTCCTCAGCACAAGATGGGGAGCCACTGGAGGGTTTTGAGCAGAGAAGTGGCATGCTGGGACTGCAGTTTAGTAACATCCCTCTGGCTGCTGTGTCAGGAGGGGCAGGGTAGAAGTGGGGAGCCCAGTTAGGAGATTTGTGCAGTAAACCAGTAAGAGATGATGGTGAACCTGGGCAGTAATGGAATGGGTCTGAAAATAAATGAAGGCAAATTAGGGTTTGCTAATGGACTGTGGGATATAAGATAAAGGGAGGTATTAGGATGCCTCTGAGGTTTTCATTTTGGGTGAGTTCCATGAGAGGAGCTAAGAGGCAGAGACTTAAACTAGAATGCATTTTACTGTGGAATAGATCACAGAGAGGCATGAGGAAGGACAAGGCAATTCATTACAGATCCAGAAAATGGGCTGCTGTGAAGAACTTTCACTCCCTGCCATCAGTTCATTGAGAAGCAGGAGACACTGAAAGGGAGCTTCCAGGAGTACACAAGGTGAATGCAAATCCGCAGGAGGTTATCCTGTGTGATAGAAACTTCTACAGAGATAAGACCCTCTTCCTGTCTTTTTTCTTCTTGAGAATATCTTGTCTGACCCAGCCTAAGGGAAGGACGTTTGTCACAAACCATCCTGACCGCAGAAACCTACATGGTGCCTGAATGGGGACTGGTCAGTTAATGGTTTATAGAGGTGGATATTCTGAAGGGGAGGGTGGGTTCTGAGATATGCAAAGCCTGATTGCTAGTGGAGATACAGTTATCAGACCAGAATCTTGTAGGTTCCTAGAGGAAGTGAGGAATACAGTATGGGAAAAGGTTTAGGGGTAGCTAGAGTGGGCAGAAGGATCTTTATCTACTTTGGAAGGCCTAATAGAAAACCATTAAAAACCCAAAGATGAATACCCTTAAAACCAAAGCGTGGGGTAGGGGAAGGAAGGAAATCATTTCTGTGGATCAAGGCAGTTTGGGGACTAAGAAACAGTCACGCTACAATTTCCAGGAAATCTTCTTCTACCCCCGCCCCCATCCTCACTACCAGAGTGCTTTAGACTGTGACAGGGATTTTAAAATTAAATGTATTTCTTTGAGAGCATTGGGGGAGTTTCTTGACACTTAGTTGGAATAATTACACATCTCTGAGGTGTCCCAAGATTGAAAAACTCTGGGAAGACCACTAGTTTATGGTATAAAGGTATTGATAGTTCACCTTTACAGAATGCTAGGCAGGCAACTAAAGTACAGTTTGTCATCTAATCCTCACACAGTCTAAGGAGACAAGTGTTATTACTATCCAGAGTTTGCAAAAAGAGAAATGGAGATTTGGAGAATCAGGTAATTCATCCAATCTCATTGAGCCAGTGAGAGGCAGATCTGAGACCAAACTCCAGCCAGCTGACTCTGAAACCTGTCCTGTGTCCCTGAGGCCGGCAGGGCATGCACAAAAAGAGGGCCTGAAAGGCCTTTCTTAGAAAGGGGAATTTCTTTTCCCTGCATTCTCAGAATTGGATCGTGAAGGGTGAAACTCAGTTAACCTTGATTTCAAATTAACGACTCATTAGTTTTCTCAACATTTGACTCAGAAAGAAACACCTCCCTTCTTCCTCCTTGAAGTAATTTAATTTTCACATTATACTTTAAGGGATATCCTCTATTTACCTAATGCTTTCCTGTTCAGTCTTTTCAGACTATGAATCTTGTATATTTCATATACACAAAGGTGACTTTTCCTTTCTTGAATGACCAACGCTTATCAGCACAAGCAACCGATACCGAGCTCATAAATATGTCACTCAGAGTTCAGTCTCAAGCCCTTCTCTTTTCTAAGAGTAGTTCTCACATGATTCTTCTTCCCCTTTCTTTTCCTAACCCTGTGGAGACTGCACATGTGCCTCCGAAGCACCCTTGGAGTATGTTTTGGTTTCACCCCTCACTGGCAAATATAAAAATGAGTGTGCGGTGCTTACACACCAAAGTCATTGCAGCAGGAGGCTGCAGACAGCATAAAACAAGGCCAGTGGAGCCAGCAGCTTCCGGTTCCAATTAAATATTTCCTGTAAGTCTGTGCCAATTGTGCATCTTGTAAGAACATTTGAAAACAGAAGTTTGAACTCACAGGGACCCTGTTGCCTTAAAAACCTGTTTCCTGTTTGACAAGATTTTACTAGTAAGAGCAAAGTAGCACATTCAGCAACAAGAGTCATTGTTAGTGGTTCAGATGTGCAAAGGTGGTGGTTTCCTCTCCTGGGCACCCACCACACAGCCTCATCGAATTGCAGATTTATGTCTTCCAGATAAATCTCTCTGAACATTAGAACCCTATTCCAGGGGGCTCGAATGACATTTCCAGGCTTACAGGAAATATTTGTTCATCTCCCTATCTGTACATCCTACTCTGTGCTATTTATAAAGTTAGAAAAGCTCTTCAAGACAACTCTGAGATGTCATCGTCTCCATTTTACAGATGAGAACACTGAGGCTCAGGGTCCATATGTTACTAAGTTTTGTATAGAGTGTTTTAGATTGCCAGGGATCTAGTCCCATTACTTTGCAGAAGTTACTAAAATGCTTATTGTCTGTTTCCCAATCCATAAAATGGGGTAAGTAGCAGCAGGAATTGGACATCATAGATTTAAAGTACCTTTAAGTTGTCAATAGTAAAAGCACTCCAATGACCACAAAGTATTATTATTATTAGTGTGTCATTATCACATTGTCATTATTTAAAAAATTGTCTTAGGACTGAAACTCAAAGCTCTTCCTGATTTGGCCCTAGTCTACTATTCTACCAGCCTTTTCTATGCATGATTTCCAACTCCCCCTCCCCCTAGTCACTCTCTCTCTCTCTCTCTCTCTCTCTCTCTCACACACACACACACACTATCTCTTTCTTTAAATTTTACCTTCTGAATCTTTGTTCACATGTCCCTTCTACCTAGGACACTCAGTCCATCCAACTGTGGTCCAACTACATCTATGAGGTGCCCCAATCTGCTTGGGGATGAGGTTGGTATCAATCATAGCACTGATATCAGCACTGGAAAAGCCCACAGTGGAAGCCTTGAGTACCATCAGTGGGATTTAGGCAAGTTGTTCAGTCTCTCTGTGTTGTGTGCTCATCTCTAGGATTGGCTAATACCACTTACCTCACCATGCTATAAGGACTAAATGAAATAACCCATATGCCACACAGGGCCCAGCTGGGCCCAGAATATACCTGAGCCCCTACCTCCTATCCTCAAATAAAGTTCCTTTTTCCCTCCCTTGTGAAGTATTCTGCTTAATTTATATAGCATTCACCAAATGTAGCTTGTGTTACTGTCCCTCATGCATGTGTCTAACTGCCCACATGAAATGATAGGTTCTTTGAGAGCCAGAAAAACGCTGATTTCTTTTTGTGTTCACCGCTGCCCTTGTCTCACAGTAAGTTCTCGATGCTACTGAGAGAACTCCAGGAATGTTATCAACTGGCTCTCCTGGACCTGCTTGCCCTGTGGGGTAGCCTGGTGACTAACGCTCAAGGCTAATTTGTAGAGCCCAGGAAGCTGAATCTTAGAGGGGTGAAGTGAGTCAGAATTGAGACCAGAACATTCCAGAACTCATTCCCAGGCTCTGCTTCCAAACTACCTTCTCTTACCAGGTCAGCTTAGTACTAATGTTAACAATTGAACTTTTTGCCTGCCAATGTGAGTATAATTTGATAAAGTGAGATTCAAGCATTCATCTAACAAACGTATAATACTAATATTTTTAATGGTAGGTATTACATTCTAGGCTACTAGACCTCTTACTCATATAATTTAAATTTTCATGAAAATCCTGACAGGTTTTTCCCCCATTTTGCAGCACAATAATGCATAGACAATACCTGCAATATTTTGTGTTAGGTTCTAATGGCAGCAAACACCATGCTCCTGTTTATTAAGATTGCAACGTAGTGGCCGAGACAGGCAAGCAAATCATTAACTGCATCATGAGGGACATACACTAAGTTATAAAATAGAGACATGTGAGGGAGAATAATTAACATAATTGGGAAGTGAGAAATTATCAGAAAACAAGGGATATTTGAACAGACTCCTGAAGGGTGAAAGTTCAGAGGACAGATAAAGGAGAAAGGCAGTCCTAGGAATACAGAACAGCGTGTTCAAGGTTAAGAAGGAAAGAACAGAACTTACTTCAGTTACACTGGAACGAGGAGGTGAGACTCAGGCTGGAGTGGACTACGTAGCATATGTGTCATGCCAGAGAGCTTGGCCTTTTTTCTTTTTCTTTCTTTACTGTAGGCAATGGGGAGACCTTGAGAGTTGTGTGCAGGGGGAGTTACTCTGTTGTTTTCTGACAATCACTTTGGTGGCCTTGGAGCAGGAGCAGGTGCTGAGGAGGCTCTGAGCATGCTAGACACAAGTTACATCCATGTTAAAAGTTCTCCTAATGAAAATATGCATAAGTGATGATTGTCTTTAGTATTATTACCCCTGAATATTTGCAAAATTAAACTTCTTTCATTTCAGTGCTTATTTCTTCTTTGGATAAAATTAAGAGAAACTATGCTATGAGGAAATTATGCTATGCTGTGAGGGAAACCCTTCTTCACAGGGGCAAAATATCTCAAAGAAAGTTCACTTTGTGGAATGTTTTGACCCACAGTACGGTAATTGTTAACTCGTTGTTAGTGGAAATACTGTTTATCTGCGTGCATCTCTCAGGACAGGTTCCTGGCCTTCTCTCTACAGCGCTGGCCATCCCAGCACCACTGTAAATGGAGCACCTCGCAGTACTCAACCATCCCCGCCCAACCCAGGGGTGCGAAATGAATGAAAGCTTCAGACACAGACTATGCGTGCAGTGTGTATATTGTGCATATGTAGTTATATACATATTTAAAAGGGGATGAGCAGAATATGGAGGGTCCATGGGAAAGATAATCCAGAAACTTTCATTGAGCCCAAAAAGTTCCCTTGCACTGGTTAGTCCAGTTCCTGCCCAGACGAAGTGCTGGGCCAGAGAGGCCTGTGTCAGCAGCTTGTGCAGCTCTTGGCTTGGTCCCAGGGAGGGTCCAGGGCTCCTTCCCTGTGGCTGTCTCACGAGACTGACCCTGCATGGGAAATGTCCTTGGACAGCTTTATTCATTTTTCTTTAAAAAAAAAAAAATACCTGACTGATCTCATATAAAATGTCCTTAACCAAGTGAGCTCACCGACAGATGGTGCTGCTGGGAGGGGCCCCTGCGCAGACAAGCTCCTTACTCCCTGGCAGGGTTGGCTCCTCCAGGCTTTCCATGCCAGGCTTTTAATGTTCCTTCAAATTTCAAGTAATGGGTTCTTACTCATTTGCATCTTCTTGCAGCGGCCTGTGAGGGAGCCCATCGTGTGAATGAGGGCAGGCACTCCCTGGGGATATGACTTTCCCAAGGTCCCATGGGTGGGCTCATTCCCCTCCCTTGTGGCCCCCACCCCCAAACCCCACCTTCCCCATGTGTGATGGGGGCCATGGGATGGCCCCCTGGATAGGCCATCATACATTTCTAGAGGCTTCTTTTGAATATGCAAGGTATTGGTTCTGCGTCAGTGGAGCTTCCAGAACCTTGGAATTCTGTCCCCTGCCCTGTGTTAGGAGCTTGCCCACTTGATGACGGTGGTAGGTGGATTTGGTACAGGCCTGATAACATCTTCGCACAGTGAAGAAGGCCTCTGGGGTGACTGGCCCCTGGGGTGGATGTTGCCCCAGGTGTGGTTCCAATGGAAATGGTGAGTCACAGAGATTGCTGGCCTGCTCTTTTATACATTTGCCTATGTCTGGAAGTGTTTCGCTTTCTCCTAAAATGGAGAGAAAGTCCCTAGGGTGTTGGTAAAGTTGCTTTGGCTCTGCCTAGTAACTTCATCTTTCTCAACTCACTTTGCCTTTCACCAACTACCACCATTACCACTGAGAATCACCCAAAGGAAGGACATGGGAAAAGTGTGAGCGTGCGGTCACATCAGGCCTCTGATCAGGTCAGAGTTAGTTCAAAGAAGCAATAGAAAAAGAGCCTGAGCTTCATTTGCAGACTGGGTGGAGGGAGCTGGTTTGGGGTGGGTCGGGGACGGGGTAGGAGAGAGGCATGGATGTTGGTGTCGGACAGAAGTCCGAAGGCAGGATTCCAGAAGTTGGAATCCTGGCTTTTCTACTAACAAGTCCCGTGGCCTTTGCAAGTTACCTGAGCTCTTTGAGCTTCGGTATCTTCTATAAAGTGAGAAGTACAAGATTTTCTTCATAGATGGCATCAGGTATATTCATTCTACCACTGGTCTTGGCTCCAGGTCAGCCAGCACATTCAGGAGCATGAACAAGACTGTTTGGAGAACTCCAACAAACTGTGGTCTGCACAGAGCTCTGTGAAGGAGGCTGAAAGGACTTGGGGCCATCTTGTTAACTTCCTGCACCCTGTCAGCACTGAACGTTACCTGTAAAAGGGTGTTACAATCCTGTTAGAAGGGGTGCCAGTAACAAGTTAGGAGGATGAAGTGGACTGAGCAAGCCTGGGGAACAGGAAACCATCTGTGTGATGGCTTTTGCTGCTGCTTATCTGTTCACCAACCTCTAGAATAACCCTTCAGAATTACCTAGTCTTTCTCTAGATTACTTTTTTTCATGCCTCAGCGTCTTTTGCATCAACAGTGATGCCCACTTTTGGATGGCATTTCGTAAGCTTTTCAACATCTAGGTATATTTAAATGACAGACATGAATATGTGTGTAAATTCAAATATATTTTTTAAAGATTTTATTTATTTATCTTTAGAGGGGAAGGGAAGGAGAGAGGGAGAGAAACATCAATGTATGGTTGCCTTTCATGCGTCCCCTGCTGGGAACTGGCCTGCAGGGAACCTGCCTGCAACCCTGGCATGTGCCCTGACTGGGAATCGAACCACGATTGTCTGGTTCGCAGGCCCGTGCTCAATCCACTGAGCTACACCAGCCAGGGCTAAATTCAAATATTTTTTACCTGGAAAAATAAGTCCAACGGACTGAATAAGGGAAATATCTACTATTGCATTAGATAATGCATCTGATCTCTCTTGCCATATTTGCTCAGGAGCAAAGCCTTAGTAATTGTTAGTTTAATTTTGATTATTTAAAATAACAGGCATTAAAATCATAAGCCCATGGGCGATAAATGAGTTTTTAATTAAAAAACTGCAGTGTTCCATATGTATGGAAATATGGCACAAGAAGACAAAATAAAATGTCAAACCAGGGTTGTGAAGTGAAAATGTTTTTACCCAGCCCTGGCTGGTGTGGCTCAATGGTTGAGCCCCAGCCTGTGAATCAAATGGTCACCGGTTCAATTCCCAGCCTAGGGCACATGCCTGGGTTGTGGGCCAGGACCCCAGCAGGGAGTGCGCGAGAGGCAAACACACACTGATGTTTCTCTCCCTTTCTCTCCCTCTCTAAAAAATAAAATAAATAAAATCTTAAACAAAAAAAGAAAAAATTTTTACCCAGATAACTTATATTTGGGGGAGATATTTTTATATTAAACATTTTGAAGAAGTTAGAGATATGGTACTTTCTAAGTTATTATTAATCATTGACTGTGTGAGTCGGGGTAGGCTGGGTAGAAGAGGGCAAAGGAGGAAAATGGGACAACTGTAATAGAATGCAATAAAAATATTTAAAAAACAAAGACAAAAATTTTTGTCTAAGTACTATAGATTGATTTATCTTAGTTTCACCACCTACCTCAGTAGCTGGTTATTATGGTGGTTCTTTTGATTAGCACCCACCTGCCCCAACTTGGGATGCCTTCTCATCTAAACTTTCACTGGCAGTGAGCCTTTCTGTGAGCCTGGCTTGCTCCCCTTTCCTTTTTCAGTTGGGATTTACCTTTACGAACTCAAGGTGTCTACCTGCACTATGGGGGAGGTAATGCAATGGCGCAGGCCCAGCCACCAAACTGTCCCCAAATTGAAACCAGCTACTCTCTCTCCTGTTATCCCCCAAATATTGGGGGATATCCCCCAAAGAATCCTCACGTGATGAAGACCAGTGGGACCTTGATCAGGGAAGGTGGAAAGGGTGTTTTGTTTGTCATGGTTTGAAGGAGCTGCAATAGGGAGCAATAATGGAGGAGGGCAGTTACCGTCATCCATTGCCTCTATGGTCAGCACTTGCCATCAGTACTTGAAAACTTCTCATTGGGGGCAACTAGGCAGCAGAAACCCCCTTCTGAGTCCAGAGCTGCTATTCTCCTCCCTCCTGTGTGGAAGCCACACGTCAAAGACGACGGGAGCAGTAAGATCATGCAGATCCTACAGAGCAGGGATGAACACTGAGTGTTATACTGCTCCATGGATATGGGTGGCCATTGCTTCGTGTGGGAAAACCCAACCATTTTTCAAGTCACTTTTTCTAATAGCGCAGTCCATAATAAGCTGAAGCTGTTTCCCTATTTTGTTATTTTTATTACCTTAGCACATCTAAAAGGTATTTATGAGGTTTTAAAAAAAACCCAATGGGTAGAAGATCCCAAAGATAAGAGGATAGAAAAATAAACTCGAGGAAGAAGGTAAGAAGCTCATGTTTTTTGTTTTTTTTTAGCACTTCCTATTAGTGCTTATTACATATCCAGCACTCTAAATGATCTTTTTTAAGCCTCATAACAACCTTGAAATGTAGACTTTCACATCTCTGTTTTACAGATGAGGGGTCCAAGGCTGGTGGAGGGGGTTAAGTAATTTGCACGAAGATGGTACGTTGTGGCATTGAATTTGAATTCAAGCCAGCCCAGCTCTCAGGCTGTGCTCCTTTCTATCACCTGCTACCTGGAGAACACAAGCCCATGGGTGACATGAAGTGCGTTTGGGGACATGGGGACACAGGAATGTTTCTTGGGCCCTCAATGTCCTCAACTAGGGATAAATCGAATACTTCTGAAACCATTTGCAAGACACTAAAGTACTGCCTATGTAGGTCCTCCATAAATTTTAACTGAGCCATATTGTAGATATCCCAAATTATGTAGCAGACATTAGTTGAGATAGGCATGGCCCAGGTAGAAAAAAGAAATAATATAATACTGTGGCTATACAACTTGCATTTAAAGTGTCCATGTGAACCTCAGCCATAGATTAGTTGTCAGTTTTAATATATAACGTGGTCATGTTAAAATAGATTTTTACAAAAGTAGTGTTTTGATGTATTTTTAATAAATGAATATGATTGACCCCCTTGTTATACTTCTAAATACGTGTCTGGGATCGACATTATAAATCAAGTTGACTTGTCCTCAGGTCTATATTATCAATGGTTTCTATTTCCGACGAGGGCTGAAAGGTCCCCAGGGTAATGTTAACCCGGTGTTTAGCATTATACGTGTTGAGGCGGCTTCTTTATCAGTACATTGGGAATTTCCCCATGCGCCTGTGGTGCACGGCTGCTCCGTGGGGACTGTGTCCTACACTATGCCATGGCTTACTTTGTATAAATTGCTGCCACACTTATTTTATCTAGAGTAATCTGGAACATTTGGGTTTCCTTGATTTATATGAGTGGATAAGAGAAAACCATTAATATATCTAAACAACAAAAAGATAGCTGGTGAACCCAATAGTGAGAAAATAGAAACCATTGAAAATATACACCTGCTTTCTACAGTTTCCTACCTGCTATGGACACACTGGAAGTGGCCTAGTGCTTGGGGGTGACTGGCATCACCCCTGGGTCACCCACCCAGAATGTTCTTGGCATCCAGCCTAAAGTTGGGGGACCTGCTTCCACCAGAGAAGCATCTAGAGGCTTTGTGGCATGTGGTGATTCATTCTTCTGAAGAGATAGGTAAGCAGTACCTGTCTTCTTTGAGGTCCAAAGAAGATCTCAGAGGTAGCTGGACTTTTGTCATTAAGCTCTGAGGGCAAAATATATATGACTTGGAGAGTCAAAGAAAATAGAAGTGAAATCTGGAGATTTCTCTTTCTGCATGAATCACTACCCATGAGGCAGCCCAATAAGGGGAAAATGATGGTGTTCCAACCAATATGGCCTCTGTAGAAGCCCCACAACCCACTTACACAGAACCAAACCACAATAATCAGCACCCTGCTGTAGGAGACTCTGGGGCAGGAAGCAAATGCCCTGTGCTCCTTCACACCCATCTGGGTTAGTGTTGTTCTTTGGAAACATCTTTTCTCCCCTTTGGCCTGGAATTCACTTGTAGCAAAGTTCACCTGTATGGACATATTTGTGGGAAGGAAGGAGTTTGTTGCCCAGCACCCTGCCAGGGACAGCTGCTTCTCTAACACACTGGCTTGAGATTAAGAGTGAATTCCAGAGATTGCCTATTTGAATACACTCAAAGCATATTTTCATCAAGTATCCTAAATAGCCTCATTAATAAATGACTGATTCCTATCTGGTAGGTGTAGACCAGTGGTTCTCAAATTAGGCTGCCTGTTCAAATCATCTGGAGTTTCTTTAATTTCTTTAGTGAACTGAAGAGATTTTAGTTTCTTTAGTGAACTCAAAGTAGAAAAATGTCATTCAATAGACTATTTCTTTCTGAAACGAACCTTCAGTGCCTGGCTTGTCCTTAATTAATTTTACTGGAATTGACCCTAATGAAAATGTAACTCAGCTACCCCCACCCCACCTGCCACCACTAATGGTGCAAGAAGATGAAGGTGTGAGGAAGCAGAACTTGGTACCTTGCACTCCTGATGACACGTGAGCCAACGTGGCATGCTCTGATGAGTCAGGGGCAGCCCTTCCCTCAGCCGGAGATTCTTCCTGCATGGTCCATGGTGCTAGCATTTCTAACTCACTCTTCCTACCCCACACACCTGCTTCCAGTCACTTCAGTGGGAAGAAGCCCCTTTTCTCTTGTGAAAGGAGTTTTAGTGACAGAAACAAAGTTGCTTGAATATCGTCTTTCCCTTAGCAACAAAGAAAAAAGAGAACTTAAAGTATTCAGAAAAGAGGGGCAAATTTCTGTAGGTGATGAAGATTACAGCATCTTAGTTGAGAAGGGATCTCCAAAAATGGATGACTGGAGACTCAGGAGGGAGAGCTGGGGACCAACTTATTCTTTTGGATGGCTGGTCTTCCAGTGTGTCTGACTGCGTTTCTGTGGAGTAAGATACAAGAAAAAAAAACAAAACTGTCTGGTGTGGCTCAGTGGATTGAGTGCCGGGCTGCGAACCAAAGGGCCGCTGGTTTGATTCCCAGTCAGGGCACATGCCTGGGTTGCAGGCCAGGTCCCCAGTAGGGGGCTCGTGAGAGGCAACCATGCATTGATGTTTCCCTCTCTTTCTCCCTCCCTACCCTTCTCCCTAAAAATAAATAAATAAAATCTTTTAAAAAAAGATACAAGAAAAAAGAAATGGAGGGAAAATTTGGTCTTAAAAGAATTAGAGGCTGAAGCAATTACTTTTTGTTGTTGATATTGCAGCTTGCTTC